ATATATATATATATATATATATATATATATATATATATATATATATACTGATAGAAAAAAAATATCTAAAAATCAAAGAATATTTATAGGATAGGTACTAACATATTTACTTATACTAATACGAAATATTTTTCAAATAAGAAAATATATATTTTCTTGAAAGCTTTCCATGAAAGCAATTGTTCATTCTACTTCATTCTACTAAACAAAAAAATATAGATTTAAATAAATATGTATTAAGAAAAATACTTAAAAATTTATTTATGGAATATGAAGTAACTTTGTGAATAAATTTCATATTTTACGAATAAATTTTCAAGCATTTTTTGTTAACGTACTATTATAGTACTCACTGAATATTTTTCAGATATTTCTTTTCAGTGTACATATATTCCACATATATTTTTTGTACATACATTCCACGTGGAAAGTTTAAATAATTAATTGAGAAAAAATATTTAAAAATTTATTTGTGAGATAAAAGTCTCTTTTGCAAAAATAAATTTTATATTTCACAGAGAAATATAAAAGTTTTAGATCATCTCCCCACAAATATACTTTCAACTATTCTTTCCTCACTGCATATAAATACAATAAGAATGTTCAGAATTGGATTAGTGTCCGGTAATTGCGTTGGTACTTTCACCTTAGGAGAAATAGAAAAGGAAATCTCATTAGAAGTAAAAGTAGAAAATACGCTCTTGAGCGATAACGTTAAGGCGTTTGCAATGCACTCGATGCACCAGCACGCGCGGTCGTGTCCCTTGTGCGAGGCGGAATCCGCTCGAGGGTTTATAAAGCAAAGCAAATACGGCGCAAATACATTGACTGCTTGTCGAGGTAGTTACAAGTGACGAAGTCCCTCTTACACGTCCATTACATACGTCAAAGGCAAATGAGAATCGCGGAGAGCGCATCGAAGTCTGCAGAAACGTTCGGCGGACGGACCGGTGCGATATAACGAGATGTGAATGTGACGACGAGGACGATGGAATACTCCCGGCGTTATTCTTGGCGCGTTTGACAGTGCGTTAACGCGTCATCATCATCATCATCATCATCATCATCATCATCATCATTATCATTATCATCATCATTGTCATCAGCACTGGCACTCGCTCCGAGAACCCACAAATCGCATTAAATGAACGAAGCTATTAATCTCCTTTCGTTTATTCGTAATTTTACTGACTAGAGCGTCATTCGCGCTAAATACATAAAATTACCTTTAGAACTAGAACTAAAGAGACATCGATGAGATAGAATCTTTTTTTTGTCAGTTTTTCGTTTTTCTTTGCTATACGTTTACGAGAGTTAACTGCGTAAGATCTCAAGAATGACGACGCTACTTCCAGTTTCGCGTGTGATCCGCATACAAGTTTTGTTTCTTGCTTTTTCTCTCTCTCTCTCTCTCCCTCTCTCTCTTTCACGCGTCTTTACAACGAGCCGGTGCACGACACAGTCCACGCATTTGCCTTTGAGCTTTTTGATTTCTGTCCGATGACCCTCGTACTCTTGAAATGAATGTAACAATCGCAACGGCTACCTCCGCCGACGTATTACGCAACGTGCTAACAGTAAATTTAATTATTCTTCGGTTTCACCCGCGTTGGGATCACACACACGCGCACATACATACACACTCACGCTGTAAAGATTGTGCACGATCCCCGTTCTCTCCTCACTTTTCTTATCTCGCATACAACCATCAGGGAATCGGTATAACATCGACGAGATCGATTTTTTCAATGTTACACGTACGTAAAAGAAAATAATCGCGTCAATTGTTGCATTCTCATTCCCACACGGAAAAAAACAAATCTGGTTGTGTCAACAAAATTCAATATTGAACCTGATTGGCACAATTAGATTAATGTGTGGGCCAACCGTATATGGGCGTACTATTTTTTTCCGTACTCTAACAAGCACGGTGATGATTCACGTGTATTTGTAACATCGGAGATACGAGATCGACGAAATTATACCGCTATTGGTATCCGACTGTGTACACAAGAAAATGACATTCCGTCGCAATCATTGTTCTTTGCAATCATTATCTTTGCTTGTTTTCTTTATACGGTGACACTGAGCGCTATCTCATACGATGGCAAAAACGACACTTTGACGTTATCTATTGTTAATTAGAACAATGTGCTCAGCTGTCACACATTTTGTGTCTCTCTTATCTCTACCACGCATAAGATAAATGACACTAGTATCATGACACTTCCAGTTTGAGACCGTCTTTCTTTTCCTCTATCTCTTTCTTTCACTCTATCTTTCTCTCAGATAAGTAATTAAAAAAAAAAAGAAAAGAAAAGAAATCAAGTATCGTACATGATATCATACGCTTATTTCTCAGTGTGATACAATTAAATATTAAATAATTATAGACTACATTTCGTGTTATAACAAAAATGAACTTAGTATACATTCTGTGTACAAAAACCAGGATTTACAATAGCGTTTTTCTCTAAATCTCAATATATAATAGGAATATAATAATTTTTTATCACATATAAAAAGCGGTTGTATATGTACATATCTGAGTAAGATTAGGTACCATTATTATTAAACTGATAGAAGCTATTATATAATTTGGTACACTGTTTAACTCGGTTATTCGATAAATACGAACAATAATAATCAATATGTCGATTTTTTCCTGGTGTCTTGACATAGTCGTTGGTTTTTCGCACGAATTCCTATGTATACACACGGCTCGCCGCTTATTCCACGTTACACATGTGACCTTATTTCTCTTTTTTTCCTCATTTTAAGATTACTTTTATATAATATGTATCTATATAATACATGTTATTTAAATAAGTCAGAGCTATGGCCAGTTCAATTAAATTCGAGAGTCGTTGGTCGCATAGTCACGTCCTCTCGTAGAATACTTGCCCGTTACGTCGATTTATATGTGCCAAACGATTATCAAGAAACAGTATCTGTCTACAGTTTTGATCGCGCAATAATCGATGGATGATCACGAATATTTGCTTTCACAATATACATATATATCTTTTCTTTGCGAAAAGACCACAGCTCTATCAACGATGTGGATCGTATATCGTTACAACGATATAAATTAGTATTTGTTTGTTCTGTGTATTCTCCTCGCGTCATTGTCGTCACGCTTGTTTCAATTCCTTTTATCCGTAAAAATTTAAACTCCGGATGGGGCCAGTGTCACTTCTTTCTTTTTGGTTACGCGATTGCCCATAACCGATAATGGCAACTCGATGTCGTGTTTAACGTCGTGTACGTGGTCATGATGAAATAGAGTGATAGACGCCCGCCGCAACCTCGTTTCGGGCTCCGAAATATGCTCCAACGGTCGATCTCTCGTCAACGATATATATCTCTCATCGAATCTCACGCGTTCTCTGTCAAGTTCCCTTTTCTGTTCCCGCTTTTCTTTCATTTTTTTTTTATAGTCAACTCAACAAGCGAAATATAAGCAATCAAATTTGAAGCAACAACTTGATTCTTAAATATCTACCTAAAAGTACAATGGAGTCGCACAATGTCGAAGGCACAACTCTTTCAAATCGGTCGAACTGAAAGAAAGCACAATAGGAGGCATCATTGGCGTATGGTGAGATTTAACAGCACGGCAGGCCGCCGATAAGTGTCTTTCTTCCAGAATGCTCGAGATTATTAAGTACAAGAAAGATTCTTTTATTGTTGTTAAAAGACTAAATAGCAAAAGCTATGTATAGCTATGTATATAGCATAGCTACTTTATTTATATATGTTAGAGCATAGCTTCAATAACTGTGCTTTCTCTGAATGAGATGAGAACATACTAGCCCACTTTTCTTTTTTTTATTTTTTTTCTCTTAGTCGTATTTTTCGATCATTAGAAAGTTCCATTTTAACTTCTTCTTTTTTTTTATTAGTAACAAATTTACATAGGCATACGGAAAATTATGATTTATACTTTTGTCTTCTAGTCGGCAGAGAACGGGATTCCGTAACACTACTCACTATACATTTATACAATCTTATGATACTCCTAAGCTTTGAATTCACATGCATGTAATCGAGGCAAATGAAACCCTTAGCTATATTCATTACTTTATTGATCACTCGATGAGGAGAGCGTATTTCTTATCGAATTACCATTTTTAGAATTGGAAGCCAAACAGTCGTCGGGGTACACGAACAAAATGAATGATGGCATGGAGATTAAGGAGAGAAAAAAGATATCGTCGAAAATTGATTGCCTCAACCAGCATGCGTTAATTCAGTTCTCAGTCGGAATCGTCTCCCATTCCGTTTCCTCATTGCAGTTCGAACATTCATAGCGCGTCATATTATCAAAGTAACTACCCACAGTGAAACTAAGAGATTAGCATGAGTTCGTTAAAGACCGATCGCTAAAAAAAAGACAAACCCTCACTTGTTATATCTGTACATGTGTTGCTACCGCCCGGCACCAAGCTGCTGGCGCAGTAATATCTAAGTATTCCGAAATCGTTTCACTGAGGCAGCAACTTGGCAGAACGTCAGTATTCAGCGTTCATTATGGATCCTGGCTGGTACTTTGTGACGACTCACAGTTCTGCGGACTATGCAGCTGATGTGCTAAGTGGGGCGTGTGAACCGGCGAAGGGCCTGGCTGAGGCTGCTGTTCTTCTTGCATTTGTTGGATTACACTAAAGTCAGGGTACCTGTAAGGACGAACAGATTGATAATCGTCCAACGTTAGTTCACTTCTACAAAATCAAGGGTTTATAAAACTATTAAGAGTTTATGAATTAAGATAAAAATTCAATATTGAATTTATCTGAAAATTCTAAGTTAGAATTCTAAGTTATTACAACTTTCTTTGTGAATAACTTTTAGAGATATTGTATAATTGGCATTACCAATATATAATTATTTTTGTTTTGCGCGCGTGCGCGCGCGAAAAAAAGTAGTTTTAAAAACAATATCTTTAAAATACATCTCTCTTTATTACGATACTTACTCCATCGATGCCCATCCTAAGCTTCTGTTATTACGTTTCTTTGTTCGAAATCGTTCGACTGGTTGAAATTTTGATGAATTAATAGATTGATACGTATACGTAGATTGAGACGTATGTTGATATTTTTCAGCTTCCTCTGCGCATTCCTCGCTCGTTTCTTCAACTTCTGGCTCCTCGTCAGGACATAATTCGCACGCCCGTTCTAATGTCTTTCTCGCACTGTTGCTACGCTCCAAAACATAACCGTTTGCGGAATCGTTCGATTGTGCCGTTGGAGACCAATTATTGTACGCATGAGTATAGGGCGCCGCAGAAGCATATGGTCTCTGAAAATAATAGATCAAGAATACGTAATCATTAAAAACATCGCAATAATTGATCAGAAATTCGTAATCATTAAGAATATCGAGTAAATCGCTTCTTAATTTCCGTTACATACTTTATCAAGTTCATCATGAAGCCAATCTATGGCTTGACTCCATTTCCTTTTTAGATCTGGACTATGATGTAACAGTTGATGTGCAGGTCTGCACTTACTAAAGAGCTGCACCATGCACTTAATACACTGATAAGCCCTTTTCTGGTAGTGATTTTTACTTCGTGTTATTGTATCAAATAAACCTTCGCGATCCTCCGGAAGTCCTGAAGAAGATACACAATCTTGTATTTTCCAACCCTAACACAATACACAAAAGAATATACCACTATTTAAAACTTACCCTTAAGTGCATTGTGTACACGGTGTGTCTGCCATGAATCTTCCATCAGCAATATCGCGAGCAGCAGATCCGTGTGATGTCTCAGCTCGTGGGTATAGGCAAATCCTATTTGCCACAATAACTCGTACAGCACCGTTCGTGACAAATGTGGATTCTCCCAGCAGCAATATTGAAGTAACTTAACAGAATCTTCTGTCACGTTCGCATCTTCGATCACTTTCTTGATGTAACTGTTTCCGGGCAGAAATAAAATCATAAAGACTGTCTTGTGTCCACAAATTCTATCTTTACATCCGCAATGGATCGTTCGCGATTAATTCTTACCTGGTGCGGATAAAGAGTATATCAGCTGCTTGTGGTTGGATGGGCATAAGATATTCCGACTGACACGCGGGATCTCCGTATGGATTTGGTAAAGGTTCCACGCGCGATTGTGTATGACTCGAGTGCGTTTTCGACGACACATCACAGCATCGTATCAACATGCTAACTACCTGGTGCAATTTTGTCAATTCGGGATACTGATACTTTATGGTAGGACCCGGTCCTTCATCGATTGCGACTAACATGAAGGTCACGGGTACATTTAGCTGCAATAAAAAAAAAGATAATAAAATTACACGCCTGTCAACACCGTTCCTGGCGCGAAATGTTACGACGGCAATGCTCATTATTATTAATATTGAGTACACATGCATCTCTCTTTTACCTTAAGCAACTGTGCCTTCTCGGCAAGACCAAGCGAAGCATACGCATGAAATAGGGAGAAGTAATTGGGAAGATGACGCCCATGATCTGAGATTTCGCGGTGGAGCAATGAGAGCACCGCATGTAACAAGTGATCACTGAGCGTCGCTACTGGGTCCAAGAGTATAGCTAAAAATATTGACACGATGATTGTACAGTTACGCATCATTATAAACGCGTATCTCTGTACTCCATTACTTACTCGGCGCATTTAGGCTGGGCGGCGCGCATGGACCGTCTTGTAGAGAAGCGTGCGCGAGGAATACCAAAATTTTGAGGAAAGCTGTTCGTACTTCCGTACTAGGACAGCTGAGAAGATACTCGCAGAATCTATAAATATTGACAGAATTATTAATTGTTAAAACATAAATATTTCTACACAATATATCATGTACACGAGCCAGAAAAGAAGTGTTACCTATGCGGATGATTAAATAGTACTTCATTGGCAAACCAAGAACGCACTGCTTTACTGGTACGCAGATGATGGCATACAATGTCGTACCAATCCGTAGCAGTGCCGCGTAGAGTTTTCTTAGTGTGAAAACCTGTATAGAAGAGGAATCTTGATGCTAGCTGAATCGATAGCATCGACAGTTCTTCCGCTTCAGGACTCTAGAATACAGGAATCATGTTTATTAAATGAGGATCCATCCAAGATCCCCATTTCTTGCGCATGGCGGAAACTTACAAATTTCTCATTTAGATTTTGTCTGGTGATGTTATGCGGATTGCAGGACACCAATTTCTTAATGAATTGGAAATATTCCGCGCTAAATTGATTTCTGTTGTGCATAAATTTTATGTTTTGCTTTCGCACACTGTACTCTATTGCTGGTGGCATTTTCATAACTCCTAGTTTCGTATCTGAAAAAGTACGAATGATAAGATTGCGTGCTCAAAGAACAAAATCTTGAGAGATTTCGACGATATATACTTACACAATGACAATTCATTTACACTTTTCATTAAAGAATTCTCTTCTACGTCTAGTCTTGTATAAAATAACATATACGCATTCCACCATCGTTTCTGTTTACGATAGCTCATCCGTTTGAGCATGTGATCAAACACCTCTCCTAAATAATCACCACCGAAGCATTGGGATTTCATCTCTTCCTCCTCCTCCATCTTGCATTCCGTCACATCACCGTCATCAAACTTGTACCATTTAGCGGTACCATCATTTTGTCTATAACATTTGATTAATAGGAATTTAATAAAGATTAAAGAGAACGTTTGGATCTATCAATTATAAGCGTATATTCTACGTATTTGAAGTACCTATGCAAAATGTAGGAATAATAGTGACCACCGCTAGCCTGACCACTGTGAACCACGATACCAGTTAATTGATATTTTGTGCATGTCCCTTTTATAGATTCCTCGTAGTCGCAATCTATGACTTCTCCCTCTAGTTTAGCTAAACCGGAGACAGTGTATGGCTCCATATCCAGATCTCGTGGAAACTCGAAATAATCATTGAATTTTATAGCGCATACACGTTCGAAGTCATACTCAAATCTTTTCAATTGAATCGCTAAGATAGGTGGCAGTTTTTTTACGCACAACCTCTTCACTGTTACGACCTAAATGTGTAAAATATTATATAGATAAATCATTTTTTTAAGTGATTTGTACGAGATGTATGCAAAAGATCTATTTGCTTTGCAACATTCACTAGATACAAATCATTCCTATTAAATTTGCTCGCTTTTAATAAATTGTTTCTCCATTATATAATAGCTTTAAAAGACCTATTCACAAAGATGTACTATTTTTGAGTGATCATATGTCACCTTTTTGTTGCACTTATCACAATGATAAGCGTCTGCTCCTTCTAGCAACTCTCCCTTTACATATTGTTCAAGAGAATCCAATAAGTTACTGTGGTTCCGTATATCCACGCTTATCACACTGAACGGCTCTTCTTTGGAATATCTGAAGATAATGTAATGCAGTATTACAGTCTACCGAAGAAAGCAGAATGTAAGAACTAAAAAGGTACCTATGAGGGCAACCTTTGCAGATTTTTTGGTCGCTGTATGAGCCACCAAGAATCTTGCCCATTATTTGTTCATGTCCTAAGGCTTTCAATGCTTCGTCTAGGCTTTCCACTAGACTCATAAAGAATTCTACAGCGTCCTGCTGTTCTCTAAGATTCACAGGTTCCCCTTGAAGTCTGTAACAATCGTGCAACTGAAAAACACTCTTAAATTTACATATTTCCTTATTAAGTATTCAGAATACAGAACATATTAGAGTTTACACTGATAAAACTGCGTTTCCTAAAGAAATCATTATCTTAATTTTGCCTTCGATATATAAAATTAAAGAGTATTTATTCTTACTTGAAGTGTTTCCACAATCCTCTCGGTATGTAATATTGCAATTTGCTATAAGCCAGGTGACCGAATATTGCTTGTACTTGCTTCAAAATACCGATGTTGTACTCTTTCCTGGATTCATCAGCACCGCATTTCTCCTCGTTCGTGTCGTTGTCATTTGTCTCGATCGTCTGCTCACCTTCGATCCTCTCCTCACCCGAGAAATCTTCGTTTAAATCAGTCGCCGCACCCTCCGCCGATAAGAGTCCAACCCTAATGCTCTCCACCATGTACAACTGCTGTAATACTGAATTCATGTAGCAGGTTGCTCCTGCGTTCTTCAAGCCTACGAAGCCTTTAAGTGGCCTAAGACCCACTGGCGGTAGGTAATCCCACTCTACCAGTGGCTCATCTTTCTCGGAGTAGAACATGTCGGTGAGCATTGTGACTAGAAGTTTCATGTTGGGTACACAGCCTACGCAGAGACCTACGAGCAAGTCGAACGCAGCGCTAGTTGATTGAGGAGTGGTGCAGACAGGACAAGCCTGTGAGGCGCTCAGCTCGCCGGTGCTACGAAGCTGCAGCATAAGGCGAGATGCAGGAAACACAAAGTCCTCGACTAATTCCTTGATCAAATTCACTCCATGCTTCTCGTCGGAGCCGAGTTCGTATTTTTGGCTAGGTGGCAAGAAAGCTAATAGTTCTTTCGTTAGACCCAGATGACCTTCGAGCACGGCTTCATCTACTTGACTCTCTCCGGTCTCCTTCACGTTATCCCGGACTTTTTTCAACCAGGCTATCTCAACATTCAGTAGCGTCTCCGCGGTCGTGAGAGGACAATTCGATATGTGCGCAAAGTTTAGCAGCCGACACAACAGCTGAAAATATTCGTGACTCTGTTTCGCGTTCTCCATGACGGTAGTATTCAGAACAGTGAAGAGGAGGGTAATGGTGACCAGTAACGGTTGGTGTCCGCTACTGCACCACGTCGATATGAGATAAAATTGTTCGGCAGCGGCGAGCCTAATGGCCCTCGACGTACTCAATAGCACAAGATCTATTAAGAATGTGTGCCAGATTTTCTCTCTCGACAGAGTCTCCAGTGCTGTCGGATTCAGTACTAGAGTGATCGTCAGTACCTCTAATGCTTCTTTGCATACAAGGACATCGTTGTTGTCAGGGTTTCTCTGTTCCTTCTGATTGGTCTCGTGCATCGAGTGAAGGACCTCAGTTGACGCGTTGATGTTGTTCAAGTTTCCTGTGGATGCAGCCCATGCTAGTCTAATTATGGCACGTATAGTAGCCACATCCGGTAATTCCCACGAAAAGGCCTGCACGAAAAGCTGTCGACACCGATCAGCGTCCGGTCCGCTGGACAGCATTCGATGCGCCAAATGCTGCGCCAATTTTGCCGCCACGCTTCTCAGCATATACTCAGTGCTCTGATTGGGCACGCTTTGGAGTGCTTGCTTCAACACGGTCACTGGACCACGATTGTTAACATTATTATCGTGATTCTCCGGACTCCCCGTTTGTTGAACCTCGTCCATCACACACGCCATCACGTTACCTAGCACCGTCAGAAGGAGTTTACACAATCTCAGTACTGTCAGATACGCGGATCGCTTCGTGGTTTCATCCGCATTTGGTAAGAATCTGTTTTTGGTTAACATATCGAGAATAACACCCGCTTCACCGCTTTTTATGAAATTATATTGAAATTCAAACGCTCTCTCGGATGTAGGATCGAGAGCCGGCATTAACAAAGTGTACAACACCTACGACAAAAGATAGAATTGTCATTGATAGTGCACAAGAATAAGATATATTTATTAAGTGTTACTTTTGCAAACCTACTCACCTCTAAATTGTATAAAACTTGGCTAGGACTTGCAGTAAAAAATAGAGAATCTACCGTCGTATTCTGCTCGTTATTCTGGGGGTTCTGTAAAGCTTCATCATCTTTGTAATGATCAAACAACCACTGTAATCTTGTTACAGTGAAAGTGTCTGGCGGCACCAATTGCAAGAGATTTCGTGCACCATCGCGCAATTGCGAGTGCTGAAGGCTACAGCCAAGATCTGCTAACTGAAAGAAAAATGTCGCATACTGCGATCTCTGCGACATTACCTAGAACAAAGTTGCACGATTAGAATGACAAACAAAAGTCGATGCAATAGCTGAATTTGTAGAAAACTTACCACACCGGGCAAACTATTCTCTGCTTCTACATTGGGTCCGTCATATGGATGATGTGGAGAACTAGTGGAACTATCTGAGCTACTATCCGGTGAGCTTGGCATATTGCTATTTACTTGACTGAGCTTCGCAGACAATAACTAAGCAAATATTTCACAAATCATCTCTATTCTTTGTATCTTTAACACTTATTATCGCAGAACAATTTTTCTCCTATCAATACTCACCATTTTGTCTCTCAGTGGAATCTGGGAAAGCAATTTTCTATCATCAGATTGTTCTAAGGATTCTCCATTAATGAATAAATCAAGTTTAACGTTTGTTCCTGCTGCTTTAATTCTGCGTAATATTTGACGTCTCAATGAAGCTAAAGTGTCATTACTATGCGTGAAAATGTCTATATCATCAACATTTCTACCAGGATTTGCGAAGCGTATGACGAGCGATAGATGCTTCCCACGAGCTGCTCTGTAATCGAAACAAAATGTTGTCATCATATTATATAAATACTCTTGTTATTCAAAACAAGGTTAGAAAGATAACAAATATAACCATTATTTTGTACATATAGAATAAATATATATGACGTAGACAGAAACGAATCTTAAAAAAGAACAAATTTTAAAAAAGGTGCAAGAGAGAAATAGCGGAAATTGTAACGAAAAGTTACAATTTCTTGATTACGCGTGCGATAATACATTACTTCTTAAAAATAATCTTTTCAATCCTGATTTAAAACTATAATCTTACCTATGTAACGGTAATATTTTCCGTTCTCCTGGGAAAGCTGTATCGCATTCATTTATGTATTCCTGTAAAACTTTCATAACACGACACATTTTCATGGCTTCTACTTTAATCTTATTTGTCACTTGTTCTTCACGTTCTTCCCTTCCATCCAAGTACACTCTGTTAAGAACAGTTACAGTATCATAATGAGCTTTCAGTCTGTCCATACATTCGGCTATGTGTGTTTCATGAAATGCCAGAACGGAAGATTGCAATCGTGGTCCTAGATTAGTGTTCACCTCCTTTAAGAGTTCTATGGCCCTGTTTGCTATTTCTTCAGGGCTGTTTGTTACTACCTAATAGACAAATAAGATTTCCACTGCACAAACGCATACAAAAAGAACTAGAAAGATATAAAATGAAATAAAATATACGTAAAATTATAGAGGAAATAAAAGCATAGAAATGAAATAGAATAGTGTAATCTGTATCTACATACTCGCCACAAATAATCAGTCCCTATTAAATCCACATCATCCATGAGAAATGTTCTGCGTTTCAGTTTCAATTTACCTTCCTTAGAATTAACAGCTTTAAAAAATCTTTCGTAACATTTAATACCACTTTCTGTAAGCAATGTCGGATCTAATTGCAATATGTTATTTTGAAAAAAGTTCTTGTATATTGCTGGATCTAGATCAGATTCTTCTCCCATAAGTTTAGAAAACCATTTAAAGCACACCTCACGATCCGAGACAAATACACCTTGCTCGGCTAAACATTGCCAAATTTGGTCTGCCTGATCTGCACATAGCCATAATTGTCCATCCTACAAAAAATAGCACATGTTTACCACATGTTATATCCACGCTTTACGTTGGCATATATTCATGCTGGCTTTATTCCGACAACTTAAAATATACTTACTTTTAGTAAGAAGCGCAAGAAATTTAATCTTTCTTGTATTTGCATAATATGATTATATCGACCGTCAGGCATAAAAGTATTCGCGTCGATTTCAGAATTTTCTTTTACCAACTGTCGCACTTTTTCCATATAATTTGTTAAACTATTTGTTACAAGTATGACCACCGAATGTTCGTTTTGTAAACGCTCTATTACTTCTTGCCTAAATAATAATAAAAAATAAAATTAACATTAAAGTACAATATTTGTGTATAAGATGTACATAATGTGCTATTATTATACCTGTAATGCAAGTGATGGCCACGTTGACTATGACCCATATTGGGATTTGGTTCGTAAAGGCAACATATTTCACGAATTTGCTTCAACGCAGGAAGGGCCCACTTATCACCATTCTTCAACTCTTCAACACATTTATCCAGCCAGATTGTCTTTTGCGCATCTCTTTCTTGTGAGCATGAGTAATCGAGAATCTTTACATGAGCATTCAGTGCCTGATCCATGATTTCCGTGGGGACTTCATCAGAATGAGCCAAAGTCCAGAAGAGTGTTAATACCTAGCAGTAGGATAAATTGAGACGTTTCAAAAGGTCCGGGACATTTTCTCGCATATGAATGACTCAAAATTATCTAACCTTGTGCGCCATAACACCGTCTTTATCATCCTCCGCGAGTCTTCTAATCAATTCTAATAGTTTCTCCCGTTGCTTCTTATTGGCGGTCCTCCAACTTGTCTGGAATAATTGTACAACGACCGATGCATGTAAATTTGTTCAATTTAATGTCGTTAAACTATTGCATAATAAATACCTGAAAACACTCAAATAGATGATCAAGTTGTTCAGGACTAAAATCCCAGGCTAATTTCGCCAACAAGTCATGAACGTTCTTCACAATGGCTTCGTGTTTCCCAGCTTGTGCTGCCCAAACAGCGTCTAAATCTTCTAATGTAAGTGCACGTTCTTTAATAATAAAGCGTAAAATTTTCTCCAGTTTTTCTACATATTGCGGTTGATGCAATGAATCTCTCAGTACAATTTCCAACACTCCGTTGTCCTTAATCCATTTCTGCATCATAAATAAATACTCCTTACAAGATCTTTACAAAATTTAAGATATGGATTATTGAACTCGTGATAATACTCGATTGATACTCGTGTATTACTTAGGACACTTTTAATTTAAACTTGGATGAAAAACAAGAAATATTTTAATTGTATGCTATAGAGATAATTATGCTAAAGTGTAATTGTATAATATCATAGATTTGTGAGACTTACTGCCATGCGCTCTGCTGTAAGCCATTCTTCTTCCTCCACTATTGTATTACGATGTTGATGATAACTAACACTAGATATTACTTTATTAACTTCATTTAAAGCATTCATCTTTCCATTAAATGAAGAAATTTGTAAGAGTCTCAATATCATTTTCAGTCTCAGTATTTCCAAGTTTTTTATCATCTCATCCTGATGAGGTACGCGTGACACCAAGCATTTAGCAGCTTTGATTATGGCTGATATTGCATCGTTTTTTGATTCATTTTTAGCTTCTTTTTTCAACTCATCGTCAGTTAAGTTATTCAAAATAAGAGGTACCATTTCCTGTATATATGAAAATATTCTTTGCACTCGAACAATGTGTTAGAGATAAATGATAGATTAAGGAAAGATACTTACGACAATAGGCATCAGATATTTAACTATTGTGTGAACAGTCAATAGTTCATGACATAAGCCAAAAGGTCTGATTAAAGCATAGATAACTGGCACTGTTAAATTACGTCCGCTCTGAAATCTAGAGAGCAAAATTTCGAATCCATTGAGAGTTCCAAATCTGCAACAGAAGTTTGATGTTAACTTATATTAAAAAGAAACATTTAAAAATATAAATAAAAATAATCATCGAACATACCTGTTTATAAGATCTACTAGCCAACCACGAGGACTTCGTGAGTCCTGTGGCGGACGAGCATACAGTTCCTCATCAGGAATGTCACTACTAGGAGGAACAGTTTCTGAAACTCTTACTGCATTAAATGTGTGAAATCTGTAAACAAATATGATTACATAAAAATATTATATTTAGAATTAACAATAGAAACACCGAAATATCTACTCACTTGTTACTAGGATTAAAAACCATGGCCAGTAAATCAAGTAGAGGAAACCAATCCTCGTCTAATTTCAGGACACATAGTTCCACCAAACGTCCACAATTAGCATTAATACAATTGTGAATATTTAACTTCCAACTGTTTACCGCATCATCCGTTAATATCTTGGTAAATGAGATTGTGAGACCTTCTCGAAAAAAGCGTTGACACGCTTCACTTTGTACATCAATTCCTGAAACATGACACAAGTTTGCACAATAAATGCTTCCATATAATCAGAATGACACAAAAGTACAGTCATCAATGACAAAGAAGTGGTTATTTCAGAAATTAAGGAATCATACACAACCTTTTTTACAAAGATCGATACTGGCTTGTAACAGGCACTCTAATTCTTGTTCGGGTAGAACTGGTACAACCCATCGTGGACTAGATATTTTTTCATGAAGCATATTAAGTTTGGAAACAGGAAAATCAGGCTCTCCATGAAGATGATTGCTATCTTCCATTGCAATGATAGCAGCATTGCTGCACTCGGTTTGTACCACATTCTCTGTGAGTTGGAGTCCCGACATTGTGTCAGCCAATTGTTGTGGACCTGGTGGACTGTGCATCTGCACAAGAAACATTTTTCATCCATTTAAGTCAGTGTAACTAGGATACCTCTCAAGTAACTATGTTACTTTAAAGCTTGTATACCTGTGTATTTTGCTGGCTGTCGGGGGGGTCTATGCCAACTCCCTGGCCCCTTGTGGCAATCGTCATTTTGCACTCTTTGTTATACCCCAACTGTCTCAATATCTCTTGGTCCAATGATTACACCACCAATAACAAGCATCCAGCTTATACACTGACATTAAATATAATTATATTCTAAAGGCCTTGTGTTATTAAACTATACCTACATTATCTGAAACAAAGAAAAAGTGCCTTGCCATCAAGCTTGCAGCTTCTTCAAGTATCAGCGATTAAGATATAACTAAACACATGTATGTCCCAATGATAAGAATCATGATAACTGATTCGGTAAATTAATTGAAAATCCAAGCACGGTAGAAATTTAAATTCTTCGCAAACTACGCGACGGCACAGTTACATAAGTGTTTTTTTTTTCCAACAAGTTACGACAAATGACATTTCGCGAGCCGATATATCCGTACGACAATATGTCCCGAAACCAATGATACAATTATCGCTACGGATAAGACTCCACGGAGCACGGTCGGGGGCGATAAATTTGCGCGTTCGGCGGAGCGCGTCCGAACACGCTGGGATTCTTGACGTAGTCCTGGCCGGGTGGTATGCAGCCGCGGTACGCTCGGCAAATCGCGTGACAGCGCTAAGGCTTCCGTGCATCGACTCAGAGCAACGCGTATTACGCGGACATCGGGCGTTCTAGCGAAGCGGCGTCGGGCGCGCAGCGACGGCGTTCGCGGCATGATCTCGGGATCTCACGCGACCACGACGCGACGCGACGTCAAGCCGCGCGTCACCGTTGGCTCTCGCTCAGCACGAGCATATCGTCGCACGTAGCACGAGCTGTCAACCATCGGAGAGCAGGGAGCGGCCGTGCCGGTCGGCGCTTATTCGAGATGGGTGCGTCGCGGAGACGCAGCTTCGCCGGGAAGTCGCACAGCGGTCATGCCGCCGCGTCGTGGAAGTATGCGTGCGCCTTAGTGAACGCGAGGAATCGGTGCACACCGCCGTGCGGAGCGGCCGAACGAGCGGATCTGTATGTGCGCTGCAACAACGGCGACTCGGTGGGTCTCGGCCGTGGCAAAGCGTCGTAGGGACGGCGCGACTCCTGCGGACGACCGACGCGAGCGGTGAACGATGATCGTGCGGCCCAGTACCTACGCGATCCGCGATGATCCTCGCGGTCCAGGCAGCGCCTATTTTCGCCCCGTTCGCCTCCGACCGGGCTACCTCTCCGGACAAAATGGCGACTATCCTAACGATTGGCACTGCCGTGTATTAACAAAAAGCGCCGATATTTCGGCCCGATAGACGAGCGCGACCACGCGGGGAACGTCGAGCCGCGCCGACGGCGGTGCCGCGTCGCATTCGGTCGACGTTGTCGCGCTTCCGTCACCGGGGAACGCACCTTTACATAGTAAACGTTGTAGAAATTCGTGTGTTGCACTTTTTTGACGTGACGTTACGGAACTCAACTGGCGAATCTGTAAACACGACTGTCGCGGCGCTGCGATAGCACCGAGCTGTCGTACGTACGCGGGGGGTGGAGGTGGTGAATGATGGCAGCGACGGTTCCCTCCCTTCGCTGCACCGCTGTTGTCGTCGCCACCACCACCACCCCACCATCGCTGCTGTCGTCGATGTTCGTTGTCGCGCGAAAACGTTCAACCGTCGCTCGACTGCAGAGTTAAAAAACTTATTGCTAATTTTTGTTTTCCCGCATTGTGCGTTTACCTTCGTTTTTCTGCGAAATAAAGTATCATCCTCATTGTTTCGAGAATGGCAAGTAAAGAGAAAAGAGTAAACAGAATGAATACACTATCGGACTTTGTACAAAATTTCGCCGCAGATAATTACAATGCAATAGCAAAGAATATTTGTGAAGACTCGCATTCAAGATGAATATTTTTATTTTTTTCGGACTCGGATTACTTGAAACTATCCGCGCTTAAAAAATACAATTTCTTTCTTTATTTGGTACTATTCCAGATTCGTTTAGAATACAAAGGTTGTACAAGGAGTCTCACTTTTAAAAATGTAAACCTTATACTATAAACATACTTTTGTAACATATTTTTTTAATAATTTATTCACATAAATCTCATTTCCACTGTACATAACATTCGTAATTGCGTTGTTTGTCTATATCTATAGATACATAATTTTATTTATGTATTCTAATGCAACTCCTTGCTGTTACATGTATCTTCACTTCGGCTCATTTAACTCAGATGAACATGTCTTTTTAAAAAATAATTTAATGAATTGAATTTATGCTTTATTATGTGCTTATTAATTATACTAACTAATCACATTTGTATTTTTATCTTTTTCCAGAAAAGCAAAAAAATTTATGTTATTTCATAATGTAATAATGATGAAAGAATTTAAATTTCTATAGATATATATGGAAATGAATAAACATCATAGAACATTGAGTATTATCAATGTAACAATATTTAAAAATATTTGAATTGCAAATATGAAGAGTATAATTTTAATAAGAAATAAATAGATATACTTGTTTTTTTGAAAATTTCTTCAGCAAATTATAATGATGTCCACCAATATCGTGTCTACAACTTTTAAATACAGAAAGCAACATTAGATACTAGTATGCAGAGTGTTTAAGCTCAGTTTTAAATGCGAAATTTACTATTATTTTATAAATGTTAGCCATTGTTTTTTAAAAAAATTTTAAATTATTTTTCAAAAAAGACAGTAGAATAAGGAGTATATCACAATCTAACATTCTTAAGTTCTCATACTTTTGGCAATAAATTTCCTTTATAAAGGATCTAATAAATTTTCTGCTAATAAAATGTTGCTCTTTTGTTGATAGTTATTAGCTTGTATACAATAGATTAACATTTTTATTTAAACTGATAACATCCCAGCATTAACTCTATTATTATCAATTTTTAGCAAAATAAAGAAGTGAACTATAATAAAATTAATCATTTAATAGTATCACTTTATCAGATAGTACTAGTAAATATAGTCATTTAATAGTGCTGTTTTGCACTATTTTAGTCATTTTTATCAATATGATTAAAACTAATATATGAACATCTAATCTTATTCAGGAATATGTAATCTTCTTTCTTCCCTCTTTATCCCCATTCATAATTATTTTAGAGAGATTCAAGCTTAAACATTCAAATATGAATAGAATTCCCACTGTTCTTTACTCCACTTATCACACAGGACGAATTTGATTTAGACTTAAAAGTATTCCTCTGGCAATCATGTTATCCCGAAAAAAGTTATTTATTTTCTGCCGCAATTCTATGTTCATCAAGATAATCCTGTTCGAGAGCTGAATGATTTATCATAATGTAAGTTCTTCGAGTTCTTTTAACAATTCATCTTCTTTCTTGATCTTATCTAGTTGATTGATTTCTAATTGCTTTCCAGCTTTTAGCTGTTCTTTCAATTTAGAAATTTGTTCTAGTTTCTGTGATTTAAAAGAAAATTGTTATTGTAAATCGTTCTAATAACAAAAGAATCAAGCTTTTCTCAGAAATATATATGTACTCACACTCTTTACTTTTTTTATCTTTTTATTCTTTTCCGGATTATCGGTTAATTCCATTCTTATACTTGCTGTGCTTGCAACTTGTCCATTAATAGTGGAACTAGTGTTAGATTCTAACTCTTTTTTAGCTTTCTTTGCTTCCCTATTTTTCTTCATTTTCAGTGCAGCTTTCGATGGATTTGCTATAAAAAGATTCCATAGAATTAATAATGACAATTTCCTATATATGCGCCTCTACTTACATTCAGCATTTGGCCTAGAAGGTGGTTCTATATCATCATGCAATTTAAACGTGATGGTTTGTCCTCTGGCACTCGGTGGTCTATATACTTCTTTTGAGGCTAGAACAATACAAATATTTGCTATATTTGTTCTGGGGTTCTTATATCTAAATAAATTTATTTAAAAAATATCTATTGATTACCTTGCGATTGGCTACAACTACTGACGATACCATCCACGGCTTTATAACTAATAGGTTTCTGAGGAAAAGTATTTGAAGGAAAATTTTGCCATAATACTTCCCACAGTTCCTCTTGGTTATTCCATGGCCGTTGGTACACCAGCGAACCAGTATAATGCCAAATTTTAAACCTAATAGTTTAATGAACATAAATGAACATTGGTATATGATGTATTGACTATATGTTTTAATATATATTTACTAACCCATTGCCCATTCGTAATCTGGGCGCTGTGGTCGCTGTTACGAAATGTTCACCGTCTGGTGACCACTGAAGCAGTGTAGTGTCTGGTGCATCAGTTTTGGCAATAAGCTTTCTATTAGCAATATCCCATAATTCAACGCCACCCCTAAGATTGCCAAATCCGCCCAAAAGCAGAAGTACACAGTGGTCAAGGAAATTAACGTAAAAATTGAATAATAACTACTATTGCCAATTATTGTTGCCTATTAATTAATGATAGAATATCTATTGATGTATGATTAAGTAGTAAAAGGATATTGTTGCCATGTGGATTATAATAGATACTATTCCTGTGTAATGTACCAAACTCAAATATTGCTTCGCACTTAACATTAAACAATGTTGCTTTAGCTGGCATAAACCCATATACGACACAAAACTCTATGTTCTTCGGAGACCATTCTACTGCATGTATAGGACCTTCTTTACCTAATTAGAGAAAATCTTTATTATATTTTTCTAGCATTAGTTTTAATATTCTAAACTCTTTGAGTATTAAAATGAAATAATAGGTCAATTTTTAGGACTTACTTAACATAACCATAGCAGTTTCTCCTTTTGTGTTAAGATAATGCAATGACTGTTTCCCATAATATGATGCTCCACTCTTATCAATTTCAGTATTCGTCATTAATAATGCATTTGTTCCATGTTGGTGCCAATATATATCAATTTTATCTGCCTAAAAAACACAAAATAACATTATGTTAATAAAAGAAAAAGATAAATGTGTAACTAATCAAAATGTGACAATTTACCTGGAAGAAGCTTTTATTTGCAAGTGATTCTCCAATCTCGAATTTTGGGTATTTAAATAATCTTCCAAAAGAAGGTTGACCTGCTTTCCCTAAATTACATTTTAGGATGTTTTAATATGTGTAAAATTAATTCATAATTAACATACCTATTATAAAAAATGTTGAATAAACATTCAAAATCAAAATAGATGTAAATACCTGGCATATAACAGATAATATGGTATGGAGCATTCCCAGGTGCTATACTAAATTTGGCAATTTTGGCTGCACTTATTTTATGTACATATCTATCAAAATTTTTATCTTCATATAAAAGAACATTTCCACCACTTATTAGACCACAGAGTTTTTCATCACTTGACCACTGTGGTTCCCTATTTTTTTATGAAATAAAAAAATTATTTTATTTATCAATGATAACTATCATAATCATTTTAATCATTATTAATCTATACTTTTAAATATAATAAAAAAGTAAAGTTATAATAACTAATATGTAATATATTACCAATTAATCTGCTTCTTCTGCACAAAACTATGAACTAGCTCACCATTTTCAGATTTCCAAATGTGAAGATTTTCTGTTCCCTGAGGACTTGTTTGTGTTACTGAAATTATATTATATAATTATTTTTATATAATTTTATATATTTTTGATATTTTTATATAATTATAGACTTAGTATTTAATTATTTATATTTCATATAATTCACATAGTTATATTTACCATACGATTGTTCCCAAGTTGTAAGATATGTACTTTGAGTAGAGAATTGAATGGCACAGACTTTAGGTTGTGCAATTTCAGCAACAAGTTTCCAACTCTCACAAAGTACAATTTTAATATCAATTCCATTAACCCATGCAAAATATTTGCCATCTGGGCTAAAAAGCATAGCTTTGCAGGTCTTGCTATCATCTTTAGGAAATACTTTAACTGGTTCATAAGATGGTGGACCTTGTGCTAGATTTATACCAGTGGTTCCTCTCACTACAAGATTATTAGAAATGTCAATATCTCTATTTTAGATAATATATAATAATAAAAATAATATATATATTAATAATTAAAATTACAGATTTAAATCGACACTTTTATCTGTTTTATCTGTCAAATGAAATTCAAAATAACAAATAATATGTCCAATATATATATCGGGTGGATTGATGTCGTAAATATTTCTCATATTCAAGTGGTAGCATTTTTTTTATTTTGCTCTCACATAACTCACGTCAGCAGTGGCGTTCGGAAAGTAACACGTCATCAATTAAAGGTTAGAACATAACATTTAATGAAAATATATAATTTTACTGTCTTCAATTTACAAATATTACAGTTACGAACAACATTGTCTTAAGACATTAATGTTGTTGCGAATAATATTCGAAATATCAGATGCCAGAAAACACATGTTCAGCACGTTTATCGCGAACAATGTGCCGCCGGGACATCGCTGTAATGTCGTTTATATAAACCGTCTGCATCCTTGAAAAGTGATTTTCTCAAACGATTGAATCTCAATTAAGGACAACACTCTTGCGAAATGGCGAATTTCGGCGTAAATGCTGAAGAAAAATACTTACCAACGACACAGGGAATAGGCGAAGCCATTTTACCACCGTTACCATGTGGTATCGTACCGACAATCGACCGAAAGTCGATTGCTTACGAACTCTTCGATACACAATCGATTAACGTTTTTCAAAATATTACGGATGGAACGCGATGTAACTTGATAATCGCGCGATAACAACCGCAAGTGTCTACAAGTGTCACAGGACTTGCCATGAATGAATCATACGACAACGCAATAAATCTTTTCTTAATTAGATGCTTCTAATTAACGACTCGTCACCGCATTTTGCAGACGGACGATTGTACGTAATTAACGCGGATGTTGAGCGACATCGTCGACGATATCGACATTTTGGAAAGAAGAAAGTAGATTGCGAAACTTTTGATGTTTTCCCAGCCTCGATATATTATGATAGTAATCTCTCATAACCTAACAATCGTCGCGGATATCTCTACGAGTCTATTCTATTGTTATTTAAGTAGAGTATAACACTAAACAGGCGCGCCTATTTTATCGCGTGCATACCACGTGTGACGAAAGTAGCGTGCAGTGTTTCCTAATGTTTCTGCAATTAATATTTATCACGTCAATGTGCAAAATTCGTAGGCGTACATAAAGATCTATGGACGGAACTATACACACACGCAATCGTAGATCTCTTTGACACCCACCGTATTACGTAGGGTATGGCAAGCTCATGCTTCAGGTAAGTGTTATTCGCTGTTCTCTTCGTAAAACTTGGCGTCATGTCGCTTTCCGTGTTCTGCAGACGTAACAAACTCTATGGGTTCGATAAGATCATATATTTCTTATCTTGTTATTTTCGCTTTATCGAGGTTATGTTCCCGCGCACACGCCCTTCGCGTGAATTCGAAAGTGGAATAATTTCACTCTTCATTGCGTGTCACACATTTGTCAGGACAGGTTTCTCACTTTTCTTACTTTTGTATACTTTTCAATTAATTGTTTAGATTAATTTGGAAATATCGTAATATCTCTTTGGTAAACAATATTCGCAATCATTTACTACATTAATCATATCAATCATTAATTTATCATATATATAATTCTATCTGTATGTCTGTTTCCACAGTGATGTGGATGAGTATGGTTTTGAACGGCCACAGGACTTTGATTATGGAACTTATGAAGATTTCATGTCAGAATATCTTAAGGTACTCGCAAAACTAGCCAAGAAATGGGCAAAAATTATTGGTGAAGGAAAATCACCGCAACGAAGTATTACAATAAAAAAATATGTCCGTAAAGGCATTCCAGCAGGCTATAGGGGATTGGTAATACATTTTCAAATTCAATTTACTTTATATTGATTCTTTATATTTGAAATTGGAAGACAACAAAAATTGGGTCACAGGTATGGCTTGCTGTGAGTGGTGGAGAAGACATGAAAAATGCATCACCAGATCTTTATGAAAGATTACTGCAGTCCCCATATAATCCAGAGGTTGCTGACGTTATAAAAACTGACTTGCCAAGAACATTTCCAGACAATATATTCTTTAATAATACAGAGAATCAACAACATGAATTATACAATGTTCTGTTGGCTTTTGCTCATCAAAATAAAACTGTTGGATATTGTCAGGTAACACACTTGTTATATATAGTTCCAAAAACTATACTACTTATAACCATTAGACAACAAGAATAGCTTTATAAAGGAAAATAGATATACACAATAGTATATATAAGGAATATCTTATACGTATACACTTTTCCTTATTTAACAGTATGTCCAATATTTTTTTAGGGTTTAAATTACATAGCAGGTCTACTTTTGCTTGTAACAAAAAGCGAGGAAACAGCATTTTGGTTGTTAAAAGTATTAATTGATAAAATCTTACCAGATTATTATACACGTACTATGGATGGTTTACTTATTGATATCGATGTGCTTGCTGAGTTAGTAAGGTAAATATAATTTTAAAAATTTTATAAAAACTTTATAATATATTATTTGTTGATAATATTTGTTCCAATATTAAATTTGTGCAAGGATAAAAATGCCTGACGTATATCAGCATGTGACAAACATAGGATTGCCTTGGCCAGTAATTACAACAAAATGGTTTGTGTGTTTATTCGCAGAAGTTTTACCCATAGAGGTATGCTATAATTAATATTGCATAATTTTTCATACATTCTGAAAATATCATTAATGATATTACTCGTAATTGTTTAAAATATCTTTGTTATGAAACATTAAAGATTTAACTAATAACTAGTTTGATTTAACAGACTACTCTACGTATTTGGGACTGCCTTTTCTATGAGGGCACCAAGATTATTTTTCGCGTGGCGTTGACACTTATAAAAAGAAATAAATCTAATTTGTTAGCTTGCCAAGATTTCGTCACGTTAGCCGAATGTTTTAAAGAAATTACAAAGGACAGTATTGTTTTACGATGTCATGACTTTATGCAGGTACGTAGCTTATATATTATGTATAAGTGTTAAATAGTGAAGCAGATTAAATCAAATTCATTATAATGAATATTATCGGACTATTTTTCAGAGTATTTTTAAAGTACCTGGATCACTGCCTGGTAGCACAATAGCTAAGTTAAGAACAAAGATAATGCAACAGCATATAGAACAAAAGCAGGATAAGCTAGGACGATAGTATTTATGACCGATTTCTCACACGTACACCGAAATATTCTAGTCTTTGTTATTCATTTGCATCTTTTGCAAAATGAATACATATAAAAATGTATTATATTGTTATTGCATAATTATATGCCATTGCTGTACATATGAAGTCTGTTTAACAATGTAAGAAATTGCACACTTTATTCAATTATTATAATTTTACCTTGGCTCATCATTGTATATACATATCATAATAAAAGACCAAAAATGAGATAAAAATAAAACCACTGAGAAAATAGTAAAATAAAATATAATTGTGATATAAGTTGTAATGAAAGTTATGCAATTGTGATACTTTATAGAAAGAAATTGATATTAGAGCATTATTTAAGAGAATAATTATGCTTGTATTACTTTTTCTTTTTTTTATCGTAACACATAAAGTTTATAGGATCTTTGTTTATATATGTAGAAGAATTCTTCAGTCTGGGATATAAAAATTAATGTATAATCAGCATACACATAATTTTACATGTAGCTATAAAAAAATAGTTTATTATAGATAAATAAAAGATTAATATGTATATTAAAATTTGGTTCCTAAATATATTTACATAAATGAAATATAAGTTACATATAAACTATATAAAATTGTATCATTATTTTTCAAGCATATCTTTTGCCTCATTAATTTTGGCAGCTATATATGGAGAGCCACCACGATCTGGATGATTGACAGACATTACTTTTTTAAATTGTTCCTTTACTTTTATTTTACCAGCTGTGGGCGACACTCCTAGAATGAGACTAGCTTCACGCTTGGTCATTTTTGGCTCAAAACCACCCTTGTAATACTTGCTATTTGCTAGTGACTATAAATATTAAAAAGAATTAATTATTTTAATATATATATATATATAATTGCAACTGTGTGAAAGTAGTTAAAGAAAAATAAAGATTACCTGGGAATCTAGCATCTTCATTGTTTCTGCCATCTTCTGTGACAAATTTGGCATTCTTTTAAGTAGGTAACGACCAGTAAAGCCCACAATAGCAAGACCAACCCCTGCAGCTATAGCTGTCGCCTAAAGGACAATTATTAGTTTTTACACAACTTAAACTCAAAATTCCGAGCATAGAGCATAATATCTTGACGGGGTTAGAGATGTATGTCATGAAATGCGCAATTATTGCACAAGACGACCTAACCTAAAGTTTTCAACATTAAAGTTGTTAATGCTACGTTAATTATCAAGTGACAGCTCATATAATTTATACAAATGTTTATATAGCAAAATTCTTATTATTTTATTACGATATTACGTTTTATCGATACGTTTAATAACGATATACGTATGTATCTACGGCACTTTCAACATTGTAATTTACCTGCTTTTGCATATTTCGAAGAGTTTATGTTAATACAAATAATGATTAGCATTTTTTAACAATATACGAACCACGATTTGTAATTCGTTAAATATTCTTGAATTCTTACCATTTAGTCTCGAAACAACAAACGTGTAATTTTGTATATAATAATATCGTCGGTAAATATCGATTGAAGAAGGTTTGAGTCTTGGATGTGATGTCGATTTTTAGTTCCAAAATGTCTGCTACGAGCCGCCACCATATAAATCGACTAATCGAAGTGATAGATTTAAGATAGTAGAATAGTAGTAATAGAACAATTGAGGTAGTGATAGCTTCAACAGTGTTGCTTTTATTTCTCAAGTAGTATAACTCAAAGGTTAATCAGACATACTTCTTCCTTACATAGGAACATGAGCAAAATTTAACAGGCTGTAATTTCAGCAAGAATGACGAATGAATTATTTTAAAGCTTTCTACATTTCAGAAATATTAAATGCATGTTATTGTAGTTTATCGATAAGATCGAGTTAAACGACAATGTGTAATTACAATGTGTAATAACAATTGTTCAATTTTGAACTTTATTTTTCAATAGAATTTTTACATGGAACATATTATTTATACCAAATATATGATACAAATATATTAAAAAAAAAAAACGTTAATCTTTCTTTTAATTTTTTAATGAATTACGTGGACCAATTCGTTGCAAGCAATCAAAACGAAAAGTAGATTTCTTACTTCAGTGTTAAACAATTTGACAAAAGAAAATTATATTGCAAGTTGTTGAAAAAATGTAAATTAAATAGACGTTCATTCACACAGTACAACTTGACTAACTTTATTTAAAAAATTTGGAATTTGACGGATTTCGATTATTCCCGTGTTGCTATTACTCTTGCTATTACCATTTTATTTAGTCTACAGCACATTGAGAATTTTCAAATATGTTACTACGACACAGATCATACAGAGAGACTTTCTACTGATAAATTGAGGTCGTAGCACGACTTAACGGCAGGTTAGAGGACCTTTTATTTGCAAGTAACACAACTCTCAGTAGCAAGACGAAGGACCTTTTACTTTTAAATAATATAACTCAACAACGATTCACGACACTTACGGACTTTTATTTTTAAATAATATAATACAATAAAAAGAATCATAAACGCGAATCAGGCGTTTATGATTCTTTTTATTTTTTTATTTTTTAGTTTTGATATTTTTAGTATTCGATTACTTGAACGTTGGCTTTCTTTTTTAGTAATTTCGCTATAATTATCTCACTTGTGTTGTTTTCGATGATATGTATGTCGAACGTAGTAAAATTTTTATTCTACGTTATCGATCTTTGCACGTATTGCCTGTCACACATACACATAATTTATTTTGCACAGATCTTGTGCATTAAATATATTCTTTTCAGCTGCATTTTCCACGTTTATTACCCTCCCCCCTTTTCTCCTCGTACATGAGAACATAAATTATTATATTTCAAGTACAGAAAGTGCAATAAAGTGCAACCGTAAAATCCCTGTGTTAGATGCACTTTTTACACTCATTACATATGAAAAAGAGAAAAAATTGAGACGCACTTTGGAAGAGAGAACGAGAGGAGGTAACGAGTGTAGAAAGCAGCTAAAACGGACGGATACGTCGTCAATTAGCTGAAAGTGTTTCTGTGTACAAACGTGCTTGTAAACAGCAACGTGAATTTGCTATCGCACGAGGAGATAGCCCGTTGCCAGTTCTCGAAGTCAATCGACTCACGTTGACCCTCTCGAGTTTCTGGAGCAGCTGATAACAACCGACAAGAACCGAGCGCGAAGCGAAGCGCACGACTCTACAATCTTGTTTCCAAGCGTCTCGCAGATACCACGGGAGGTGACTATAAAGAGTCTATAGGCGCGCGCGCGAATGCAAGCACGTGTGTATGTATACATATATATATATACGTATGTATGTGTATTACACAGTCGTTACGTTCGCGTGCGTGCATATATGTGTAACGAAGTAGGGTGTTGCGAAATGCACAGAACGAGTCGCGCGTTTCGTATGTATAAATATCAACTACTGTTGAACCCGATCTCCAGCAAAACTCTGGCCGTCAAAACTTTTAAATGTTAGCGCAGCTGTCTAATCACCAGCATAAATTACGCGTGACTTAGCGAGCGAGAAATTGAATTAACATACATCGCCCGTCGGAGGCTTATTCGGAGAGCCATACACGTATGTGTATGTCTGTGTATGTGTGTGTACAGATCCGTCGATTGCGTCTCGCCGGGAACAACATTCGAGTCTTATCATCGCAGCGAGATATGTATTAGGAACAGCACGGCGTGTACCTCGTAGATTCTCGCGAGTCCTGAGGAAATCCTCGTGACAGAATTAGCTGACTATCGCCGACACATATCGAAATATCGCACGCCCTAGTAGCATCAGTACCATCAACATTGATTACTCCGTTAGAGCACTGGTTAATTCGATGCCCCTCTCAGCGTGTGTCAGACGGCGAAACCGGTATGAATTCGTTAAGTTCGAATTTCATAGACGCGGCAAGAGTGACCTCCACGTGTTTACTTGAGACAATCTGCGATTCCACGAGACGCGCGCGTTTTTTTCATATGCATACGCTGACAGCATTAGGTCCGTAGAACGCGTAAAAATGTAAGCAATAAGTGAATTGGTCGGCGGCAGTCGATTATTCTCCTCACGGCTCGGAAACAATCGACTATGATCTCTAGCAGTACTCATTAGTCGGCCAACAGTTGGTCCGCTGTTAGATTCTATTGCTTAGTTTACACCGAAAGGATTAAACGCGGATTAACTTATACTGTGACCAATCGCAGTTGATTTTTATAAGAATAATCGACTGCGATTGGTCACGGTAGGTCAGTCCGCGTTTAGTCCTCTCGGTGTAAACTAAGCATATACATCGGGACCGCTATAGATTCAACATTGATCCAATGCTTTGTGCTGTTCGGGGATCGATTGCCTCAAATCGAAACAATCGACTACATGCCGTGGGCTCTTATTCCCTCTTTGATCGATGAAAGTGCCTCTAAAAGTGACTTACTAGCCTCCGGATTGGCTGTAAGCCACTTTTGGAGATACTTCTATTGGTAAGAGACAGGGAGAGAAAGACAGACAGAGACAAAGAGAGAGACAAAGAGTCGAGAACAAGGGTCGAGAACAAGATTTTTAATAAGTTACCTCGCTCGGTATAATGAATCAGAAACTATCTATTCGTCAAATTTATGTATTTGTCACTTTTATCAGATTTTGTAGAATTTACATTGCAAGAGAATTCCGGCATCAAGAGTATATATTTTCAAAGGGACACAAATGAGGAGCGACGATTGTTCACGCTGAAACGTGAAGAGAGAAATGCGATTCCCGCTGTCCCTCGACAGCGAGTGTACAATTTCCTTGACCGTCCGCCCCATGCCAGTCGGGTAATCGTGGAAAACGATACCGCGATGAAGTAGCTCGTTCTGACATTGAAAATTATACAAACATGATCTCCGTACCTACACACACACACACACACACACACACACACACACACACACACACACACACACACACACACACACACACAC